TATCCAGTTGGTGCATGGTGGTGAATAATTACACAACTCACTGGAGGAGTTGGATGGAATATCCCCATCCTCAATGATGGAAGAGCCCACCACATCAGTACAAAAGATAAGACTGAAGCATTCGCAACAATCTTCAGCCAGAAGTGCTGAGTGGATAATCCATCTCAGCCTCGTCCTGTGGTCCTCAACATTACAGATACCAATCTTCAGCCAATTCGATTCACTCTATGTGCTATCAAGACAGGATTGCAGGAACTGGATACTACAAAGGCTACGGGCCCTGACAACATTTTAGCAATAGTATTGAAGACTCGTGCTCCAGAACTTGCCACTCCCCTAGTCAAGCTCTTCTAGTAAATTACAACACTGGCATCTACCTGACAATGTGGGAAGTTGTCCAAGTATGTCCTGTACACACAAAGCAGGACAAATCCAACCCGGCCAATTACTGCCCCATCAGTCTATTCTTGATCATAAGTGAAGTGATGGAAGGTGTCATCAACAGTACTGTCAAGTAATAGCTGCTCAGCAATAACCTGCTCACTGATGCCAGTTTGGATTCTGCCAGGGCCACTCAGCTCCTGACCTCGTTACAGCCTTGGTTCAAACATGGACAAAAGAGCTGAATTCCAGAGGTGAGCTGAAAGTGACAGCCTTTTATATCAAGGCTGCATTCAACCAAGTATGGTATCAAGCATCCCTAGCAAAACTAGAATTAATGGCTATTAGGGGGCAAACGCCCTGGTGGTTGGAGTCATACCTGGCATACAGGAAACTGTTTGTTAGAGTCAGTCATCTCAGCTCCAGGACATCTCTGCAGGCATGCCTCAGGGAGTAGTGTCTAAGGCTCAACCATCTCCAATTGTTCCATGAATGACCTTCATTCCACCAAAGGTCAGGAGTAGGGGTCATCACTAATGATTGCACAATGTTCAGTACCACTCGCAACTCCTCAGATACTGTTCAAATGCAACAAGATCTGGACAATATCCAGGCTTGGGTTGGCAAATGGCAAGTAACATTTTCACCACACAAATGCCAGGCATAACCATCTACAAAAAGAGACAATCTAACCACCAGCCCGTGACATTCACTGGTGTTCCCATCACTGAATCCCCCACTATTAACATCCTGGCGGTTACCATTGACCAAAAACTCAACTGAACTCACCACATAAACACAGTGGCTACAAGAGCAGATCAGAAGCTAGGAATACTAGGGTGAGTATGTCACATCCTGACTCCCTGAAGACTGTCCACCATCGACAAGGAACAAGCCTGGGTGATCAAAGAAGTGTGATGGAATAATCCCTACTTGCCTTGATAGGTACAGCTTTAGAAACATTCAAAAAGCTTGACTCCATCCAGGACAAAGCAGCCTGCTTAACTGGCATCACATCTAATTTCTCTACCACACTCACTCAGTAGCAGCAGTGTGTACTATCTACAAGATACACTGCAGAAATTCACCAAAGATCCTCAGCCAGCACCTTTCAAAACCACATCCACTTTCATCCAGAAGGACAAGGGCAGCAGATATTTGGGAACATATATCCTTCCAAGCCACTCACATCCTGATATGGCAATATATTGCTGTTTCTTTACTGTCGCTGTGTCAAAATCCTGGAATTCCCTCCCTCAGGGCATTGTAGACCTACCTACAGCACGTGGACTGCAACGGTTCAAGAAGGCAGTGCCCCGCCTTCTCAAGGAGAACTAGGGATGGGCAATAAACGTTGACCAGCCAGCGATGCCCATGAGTCACGAATCAACAAAAAAATCTGTGTTGTTTACATAAATGCTGAGTTATACATAACTTAACATATCTACCATATATTTGTGCCAGGGGGTGGCCTATTAAACATGTTTTGATTAATCTAATTTCAAAGATCAATTATCAGCAATTCAAATTAACATTAAAAAGTGCACTTAGCAAAAAGTTTAAGTGTTATTGACTCAAGGAAGGTAGCTAACCTGGAACTGTCATGAAACAGAGGTGATATCTGCAAAGATACAGTTATGACATGTTTCAATTACCTTATTTTAATGACGTTTATAAATTCATTTTCAGTGTACTGCACAATGGGGCCAATGCCAGTGATATCAGTCTGCTGTTATTTCACCTCTTGACCCATGTTACTTGTGAAGTTACAACAGCAAAGTAGGAGAAGCTCCAAGGAATTTTCCAGCAATATCTCTGGCAAACTCATTCCTTGAGATTTCATCAAGTTTCATGGCACAATGAGTCCAAAACAAAACTGAGATGAGCCATTCACAGGATTCACTCACCATTGTATCATCTTTTGAAACCGGTTTGACTTCAGCTTTGATTAGTACCCGAAAAACTGAGAGCCTTGCTCTGGGAGGCTGTTAGGTTATCTGATACAGGACACTGAAACATTGTGTGAATTTTTGGCTACAGTCTGTTTGCTAGATACAGAAAAGGGAGCATAAGCCTGCTTATAACCAATGTTATAATTGACCTGAGAGTACTAGATGTGGAAACTGGTTTTTAAAATCAAAATTATTACACTTCCCATTACAGATTTCACTTGCCTTGTAAATTAAGTGGCCATTAAGAAACATATGGAATAAGCAAACAGATAAACAGTGCTAACATACATAAAAATGAATTATAATTCTTCATAACTGCTTAATTTTAGTTGTGTCATGTTACTGACCTGTTATTTTCTAAGTTTACCTGAAGTAAAGGTAGTTTTAAAAAATAACAGAAATTGTTCCATTTATGCTGAAACAATATGGGTTTATATCCACTGTCTGTTAATCATCAATTCATCTTCATGCAAGGATAATGATCATATTGAGAATGCTTTTCAATGGTATAAATCACAACTGTTCTTCCCCGTACGTGATACATGAAGCAAAGGAACTAATTGTGAACTTGTCTACACCCTTAGATACCTCTAATACTTTAGTGCTGGGCTTCCCAAATTCTAGCTTGCAACTTTCAGTTCAAGGCCTCTTTAAATCCTTGTGCCCCACCTCAATCTCATACCTCCCCAAGTCTCTGGTCCCAGAACCCTTATTGTGAGGTCCTTGTAATTTTCAAACCTTGGAATGGAATCACAGTGGGGAAAAGTTTGGTAAGTGCCGCTTTTTCAATGTGCCTTTTCTAGTCATCAATTCTATATGATCCAAAACATATCAAATAGAAGCAGGTGGTCAGATGATGTGTCTGGATAAGTACTGATTTGCACTGGATGTAGTGAATCTTAAGGCAGTGTTGGAAAAATTCAGAATTACTTGCATGACTGATAATGAAAATGACAGTTAGTTTACAAAAATACTCTTCTCCCAAAGGCGTGCACTAATTGTGAATAAAATTAAAATAGATAATTACACAAAATGGACAGAAATGTGCAGCTAACTCTGATAATTAGTACAACTGATTATATAACTAGCCACCCATATCCAGATGCATTTCAGCAAAGCTGGCTAAAAAACCAGTACACGCAAAACCATACCAACATTTGTATGTGTGACCAGATACGGTTACAAATGTTGAAATGGTTTGTTCATTACTCACTAAGGTAAAATAGGTCCCAGAGCCATTGCAATTGCTTCACAGCTGTCTACCTTTACAGCATATGGATGTGATTAGCAGTCTGTGTTCTTAGTCACAGCTCACCATTCAGTAAAAGCCACAAGGATTAACAAAAATACGTCACATTTGTCATTGATAATATCGAGGTAATTAAATAAAATTGAAGTGATTACTGCAAAGGTTAGATTTGGATTACCTTGAGAAGTATTTTGAACTAAATGACGCAAGTTATAAGGCTACACGTATCTTTACCATTTGTTAATGACTCTGAGATAAGGTGCGGTTAGATTCTTCTTACACACTAATTCTGATAGCCAAAAGTTGTTGTGCACTAAGGTAAGTAAAAGCATGTGTTTTTTCAGTGGCAACAGTAATTTTACATTCTGATAGTTCTCACTGTGAAAACAATGAAAGCAGCAGGTATTAGCTTTTGGGAGCACTTCCAGATAAAAACGGAGAATGATAATACTTAGAATCCTTCTCAGCTGTTGAGTACGTTTGTATGAGCTGCAGTATCTCTTATGGCTCTAGTCTAAATGTTAACCTTTTGTATACATCTAGATTTATCTTTGTTGTATTCATCAAAGAAAGAAAGGTTTAGTGAAAAATACTAAATTACATGCCCCATCTATAATATAATTCAGCAGATTTGAGATTTTCCAATCTAAACTGAGAACTTTCAATTTTTAATTAGAAATTCATAACAGTTGTGCTTAGATTTTTCAACGAAGAGATTTTAAAATTCCCACAATATATTGAACTGTCAGTTAAACTAATTGAAATCTACCAACAGATAACTTTGCTGCAGGAATACTGGTTTTATCCTTAAGTGGTCAGAATGGGCTTTTCCACTCATTTTTTTCCTTAAGCTTTTGCTTGAACAACACCATTTGTACGACCATGAATATGTGTTTTTTTCTGATCAACAGCAGGGCAAGCTTTATTATTTTAGGATTTAACTTAAACACTTTTTGCAGCCCAAACCACTCTGGAAAGATGATGATGATGAGACAGAGGAGATCCTCACTTGTGAATGTGACCTGGTTTGGAACCTGTAAAAGGTGCAATGCATTCTGGTCTAATTTTTACAATCGCCCACTCTCATCGTCCACTTCAGACAATTTAATATCTGCAACATTGCAGTATCTCTTTCAAGTGGGCATGCTTTGAGTTTGCATTGGTCAATCACAAGTGAATTAGGCTTTTTTCTTTCCTCAATGCAGTTCACTGGCTTTAAAATTCAAGTCAAATTGCTATGACATTGGGAGGAATCATTCAAAATTCAAACAAGAGACAATACACTTGTAAAGTTTTACAGTTTTTAATATAGCTGTATAAATGGCCTGAGAAAAGTGATAACTGCAATTTCAATGTGAATACTTGCAGTGGTCCACACCAACTGGAAATCAAATGAAAGACTACAAAAAAAACCATGGTATTGTATTTGTACCAGTTATCATTTTTGTCATCAGCTGCTTTTGTTTGAAATTTGTAATTCTCTTGCGGCTAATTCTAGATAGAGAAAAAAAAAGCTCATTTATCTATTAGAAAAGCAGACAGAAAAATACTTGAAACGAGCCAGATCTACAACACAAAGATAACAGGAAATTTTCTTTCCCTGAAATTATTAGCCTATTTAATCAAGGAGGCCAGTGATGATTATTACAATTGCTTAATAAAAAGAATACTATTATTTCAGCTCAATTTGTGAATTTGGTAAACTAAACATTGTTTTTAGTCAAAAACAGCAAATGGAAATGATTGACGAGAGTCATGTGAACAGTTGGATTGAGGGCTACAGGAAACTTGCTATTTCACAAATGAATAAGACAATGATATAAAGAAAAAATGAGATTAAATAACACAAGAATAGTTTTTGAGAAAGGATTCAGAGAAATCCACATCAAATGCAATGTACCAGAGCTGAGGTTAGCTGTGGGAATGAGCAAATGAATTCTGCAGAAAAAAACATAACTTTGCAAGTTTAAGGGCTTAGTAGAATCTCATTAGATCTCTGTTTTAATTAAAATCTCCCATTTGAGCAATCAGACATGCAATAAGTCACACCATACCTGAAAAGAGGTTTATTGAACATGAATGAAAAATCATCTCGGCAGCCATATTGTCTTGAATATGGACACATTTTCTATGGAATTTAAAATAAAACTTCAAGCCTCATCATCATTTATTACATCTTGTGCTTTTTATATCAATGCTCTGGATCACACAAATTCTCCAATGCTGTTTTGTTTATAATTCTAATCCAAATTCTTGCATATAGTTTTTTTTTGTCAATGCTTGGGATTTCAGAGTGTATAATTATGCAATCTTTATACTAAAAAGTATTTTTTGAATTAATTTAAAAGATCAAATAATTTAAACAAAAAGGATCACAGAATTTTAAAACCAGCAAGATGAGAGTAGTCAAGAACAATTTGAGACCACTTGGCTAAGGTCTGAAGTGTTTTCATGTGACTTGATTGTGACCTTGTCCTTTTCGTCTTGAGTTCCAAAGGCAACATTACATTTTCCACCCCTGTTAAAGTAGGAAAATAAGATGTAACAATCGGCACAGATTTGGATAATGGGGCAGAGGCATGTTGCCTTCTTGCAGTCTTGCATCAAGTCTTCAATCCCAAAGAAAATTCCGTGCTTGCAAGCTTAAAAATCACAGGGTGATTCTGCACAGTTTGTCTTGTCACTAAAGCAGTTTCACACAGACTGCCTATTTTTCAATCTGAATGGAGATTACTGTAAATAAGTACAATCCATCATCTGTTTGCTACTTCTGCATTGTGCACATTTCCAGAGACCTTTGCTCTGGTCATCGCATTTGCACTCAATAACTGTACAAAGTGGTGCTCCCAATTTTTCATGGGATCGCAGGTTGCAAGCCACCTTGATGGCTTTAACTGAATGCCTTGTCCAAGGACTTTGATTGTAACTCGAGTTTCTCTTGGAGGAACGATGCAGTGGTTGTTTGCTTTCCTTGCCTGTTAGTTCTAGGAATCAGCTGCAACACATATACAAAAGGTTCCACACACTCCATTATTAGCAGTGCAAAGTGTTTTGTATTTAAATGATTCAGGCAATTCTTCTACATACTTTTTTTTCCAAATTGAAGGCACTTAGTTTTATGGCATGTCATGAACAGTGGGTGGTTTAGGTTCCTCACTTCAGACAGATGACTGGTTGTGTTATCGTGGCCACAAGCTACTCTTATATAGCCCAGTACTATTTGAGCCCCAGTTCACATACAGTGGGCAGAAATGCATGCAGAGACACCAAACATATAATAAAGCACAGCAAAGCTAACAGTGAAGAGGTGGGAAAGGAATAAAACATTTGCTACAGACGGTTGAGAGATCAGGTATTCACAGCAGAATAGACAGCCACAGTTATCGAATGCTTTGCTGAAAACTCTGAAGGCAAGTAATTGTCAGCACTTCTTTTACCCTGTTTCCAGTAGGAAATCCCTTTGTTGGTCAGCCATTATGTCTCCTGATGACAAGCATCTCCATCCAACTGTAATAAAACTAGCCAGATCTTTGTGCTTTGACAGGATTTCTATAGCTCTTTTCAGAGTCCATCTTGATGCAGTTGTATTTTCAAATCCCTCTGAGGCAACATGGAAAGCTCTTCTCTTTCTTGGGTTCACCACTTTACACATATACATTTTTTAATTTGTTTTGTTTAATTCCGGCATCCTTCCCGATCCCATGATGCCTTCCACCATCACATGTACAGTTTGAGTCTGCAATCAGCTGATGAATCTTTGGTAATTATTCTCAAAGGTCCATGGATAAAGATTCATCCTTTGTGCAATGCCTGATGAATCTTTTCACAGCCTCTGCCATAATAAGGTCACCTTCGATGGCTTAGCATGGCAATGAGAAGAGTGACTGGAAACAGCCATATATGTATTAATACGGAGGCTTCACCACCAGTTTTTAAATCTATTTTGAGAAAAAATGGACATTAGTAAATTTCTTTAAAGGTGCAAACCTGTTTTTGAAAAATGCTGCTTTCATTAATAATAGAGATTTTCAAAGAAAAAAACATTTTGTTAAAGGCTAAAAATTGTGATTGCTAAAAGTATAAACTTTGTATAGCAGTGGGTAGATTTTTATCTCACCCCTTTGGTTAGTTAGGATTATCTGGCTAGAGGTAATTTGTCTGAGAGGAATCACTGTATCTGAGACCAATAATGATTGTTTTATATGTGATTTCTTTCCTTTGCTATTAATCATCCAGACTTACAAAGACAACATCCATTCTTTGTAGAGAGGAGAGAAGAAAGTAAGAAGGGAAAGTTGTAAGTTCCGAGTCGGAAGTGTAGACCATTTGATTCTTTGACTCTATTGCACCATTCAATATGATTATAGCCGACCTGGTCTTAACTCCTTTTCCTGATAGCAACCCATAACCCTTGAATTCCTTGTCTATCAAAAATCTAAATTCATTCATGGCTGAATTAGATAAAGATATGGCCTTGCTATCTTCTGTGGTAGACAGTTCCTTATGGTAATAGATATAACAGTTTGGAGCTGGAGGAACACAGCAGGCCAGGCAGCATCAGAGGAGCAGGAAAGCTGACGTTTCGGGTTGGGATCCTTCTTCAGAAATGGGGGAGGGGGAAGGGAGCTCATAAATAAATAGAGAAAGGAGGGGTGGGGCTGGGAAAGGTAGGTGGGATGGTGATAGTTCAGTTTACCAGAGGGTTGCAGTGGGAGAGAGATCCACTGAGGTCTTTCTGGAGGGAGGAGGAGAACTTTTTCAAGGTGGGTATTTGACAGAAAAAAATTCTCCTCCTTCTGTCTTAAAAAGGAAACCTTATTGTTCAACTATGTCCTTTAGTTTGAGTCTCCTCCACAAGACAGAATATCCTCTGGGCATCCACCATATCCAATCTGCTCAAGATCTTATAAAGGAAGAAAGTAAGGGCAGAACACAGGAAGAATGAAGCAGAGAAAGAAGGAATAAAGTTGAATGAACAAAAGAAGAAAGGAATGAATGAAGGAAAGAGAGAAGGGAGAAAGTAAGGAAGAACAAAAAAAAAAGGAATATTAATGCATAGTTCACACATTCAGGAGTTGCAAAAGCAACAACTATTTTTCACGGTTATAATTTAGGAAACACAGCAGCCAATCCTTGCACAACAAGGCCTCGCAAACATCAATAAATTAAATGACCGTATCTTCAGATTTCTTCCAGACGATTAGCTCATACATGAAAATAGAAAATTGACTTTTCATTGTATGATTGGAGAGTAACCATTACAGAGACAGTTGCAATCCTTGTAAAAGCAACTGAAATAGGCTGTCTTTCAATCTGTTCCCTCAAGGTTCAGGTAATGTCTGTAACGAGAAATAGTTCTGAATTTTGGTCTACCCTTCAGATATTTTGAGTGACCAATGTGAAGAAATGCAATTAAAATCTAGGGCTAATTTTCATTTTCTTAAATGTATGTTTCATTATGGCGTGGTTAAATCATGTGATAGGCTTCAAAGCAAGCCTTTGATCCTGATATGCCAGTGTTGTCACTGTTTTTTGAATTGCGATAATTACATGGTTATCCACTGGACGCTGACCAAAATGGTTCTTATTCTTAGACAGGGCAATCCACACATGGTGCCAAAACCATTGTGAATGAAACAAAAAATATTCTGCAAAATGTTCAATTCTTTCTGTATGCTCACTGTGAAAAACTAGTCTTCACATTTGTTTCTTTGTAGGGGGCATGTATCACAAAGATAACCTTTTGAAAACTTACGATGCAGAAAATTATGGCAAACATAAACTATGAAGCAAACAGAGTTGTATTTGGCATCATCAGAAAAAGACTACTTGTTCAGATTACAGAAACACAAATCCTGGCAATGTACTCTTCACGCTCACGCTTTAAACCGCTGAACAAACATGAGCTTGGTTCTCAGTTTATTTTCTAATGCTGTCAATTGTGTTGCTGGCCTGCAGCATCTTATCACTTACCAGCTCCTCTATATGGAGGAATATTGTTGAAGTGTCATTATCAAATGCTGATTAACTCCTCAAAAGAATTTGACTCACCATAGTAATCATAGAAATAAAAAAGAATATAAGAACATAAAAAAAAGACTGCTCCACCACTCAATGAGATCATGGGTGATCTTCCACTTCAACACCATATGCTCACACTATCCCCTTGATATTTTTAATATGTAGAAATCTATTGATGTCAGCCTTGAACATACTCAATTACTGAGCCTCCACTATCCTCTGGGCCAGAGAATTCTGAAGAAACACCACTCTCAGTGAAAAAAATTCTCCTTATTCTACTTCCAAAAGGCTTACCACTTATTTTGGGGCTATGTCCCCTGGTTCTAGACCTGCCAGCCAAGGGAAACATCTTTCATACATCAATTCTGTTGATCCCTGTAAGAATTTTGGATGGTTGAATGAGATCACCTTTCATTCTTCTAGATCTGGTCTACTTAACCTTTCCCTATAGGACATTTTTTTTTCATTCCAGGAACTAGCTAGTGGACACTTATTGCACTTCCTCCATGGCAAGCATCTCTTTTCTTTGGTAATGGGACAGAAACTGTTATATTCCAGATGTAATTTCACCAAACTTTTGTATAATTACAGTAAATCACCTTTACTGCTACATTCCAATCCTCTTGTGATAAAGGCTGACATACCATTTGTCTTCTTAAATGTTTGCTGCATCTAACATGTTCAGTTTCAATGAGTCATGCACAAGTGAACCAAGTCTCTTTGAAGTGCAATATTTGCCGACTTTTCACCATTTAAGCAATAATCTACATTTTTGTCTTCCTTGGATGACCTCACATTTCTCCATGGTTTATTCCATCTGCCAAATTTATGCCCACTCATTTAGCCTTTCCAAATATCCTTTAAATGTCTTTACATCCTCCTCACAACTCACATTGCTACCCAGTTTAGTGTCATCTACAAACTTGGAAATCTTGCATTTAATCATCATAGCTAGCTCATTGATATTGTGAACAATGGGGGGCCCTAGTCCCTCTAGTCACAGCCTGCTAACCTGAAAATGACCCATTTACTTCTACTCTTTGTGTCTGTTAACTGGTTCTCAATCCATGATGGCATATTTCCCCGAATTCCATGAGCATTAGTTTTGTTTACTGGCATCTTGTGTGGCACCTTATCAAAAGTTTTCTGAAAATTTAACAATATTAAACAATGTCACAATCCAACAATAACCCCTTGTCTATTCTGCTAGATACATCATCAGATTCATGTTGACTCTACCTGATTCTATTTTCAAAGTATGCCTCTTGTCACATCCTTTAGTATGATTTCAATATTTTCCCCACAACTAATATTAGGCTAACAGAGCTTTAGTCACCATTTGCCACTTGCCACTTACCTGCAGGGACCATTTCAGAATCCACAGAATTTTGAAAGATGACCACCAATGCTTCTATTATCTCAACAGCCACCTCTTTCAATGCTCTGGGATGTAGATCATCAACTCCAGGGGATTCATCTACTTTAAGTCCAATTCATTTCTTTAGTGCTATTATTTCACTAATATTAATATCCTGAAATTTCTCATTTCCAGGAGTCCCTAGATTCTCCATTTTTATGGGAGGTTTGTGGTGTTTTCCCACTTGAATAGTGATAAAATATTTGTTTATCTTCTTTGCCATTTTCTTATTTTCCATTATAAATTCTCCTGACTCCACTTGTAATGCGCCAAATTTGTTTTCATTGATCCTTTCCTTTTTATGTATCAATAGCAGTCTATTTTTATGTTTCTTGTTGGTTTACTCTTACATTGTATTTTCCCTTTATTATGTCCTTGACCCTTACTTAAAGAATTCTAAAATGCTCCCAGTCCTCATATTTACCATTTGCCAGCTTCACAAGTCTCATTAACCATGGTTGGAACACTTTCCTTGCTTGATCTTTGTGCATAAAGGAACATATTTTTGTTGTAAATGTTATCTATTGCCTCTCTACCACATCTTTTAATTTAGTTTCTCAATCCATCAGAGCTAAATTTTTGCTGATCATTTCATAGTTCCTTGGTTTAGATTTAAGATCCTAGCTTCTACTACAACTACACCAGTTTCAAACTTAACATAAAATTCTATCATATTGTGCTTACACATTTTTGAACAAGATTATTAACTAGTCTATGTTCATTGCATGATCCTGGATTTTAAAAAGCCTGTTCCCTCATTGATTCCTTAATATATACTGCTCTAGAAGCAAATATTTCAAGAATTCATCTTGCACAGCATAAGCATCAATTAGGACTACCTAGTCTATTTGCAGGTTGAAATCTCTCATGATTACTGTATTACTTTGTTACATATACCTCTTGTTTCTGGATTTATACCGTGATTTGCATTGTTGCTGATATTTGGCACCTCATACCAAAGTTTTGTGTTTTTTGGTGTTTCTTAGTTCCACCCAAATTGATTCTACATCTTGAACTTTGAACTATAGTATCAATGCCTCTTTAATTAACAGAGCCATCCCAGCATCTTTCCCCTCCTTTCTGAGCTTTCTGAATGCAACATTCTCTGGATATTCATGACCTGGCTTCGGTTTACTTACAACCACATCTTTGTAAGGAGCTTTTGGATCAAATGAATGAACTTCTATTTGAGCTAATAATTCATCTGTTCTATTGTGAGTGCTGCAGGCATTTGGATACAGAGCCTTTAATTCAACATTTTTAATGTTTTTGTAAACTCTAGCCTGAGTTGCTGGCATGCTCTTACGTATGTCTTCATTGCCCCTTGTCCTTTCCTCTCATACTTTGATTATCACTACCTTTATTGCTATTCAGGTGAAGTCCATCCCAATGGTACAGCTCCCACATTTCCCAATGCAGGTACCAGTGCCGCACAAACCAGAAGCTACTGCTCCCATACCAGATTAATACCCTTCTTCACTCTTTTCCTAAAACCTAAATAGAGCATGAAAGGAGGCTATTCAGTCAATTATATCTGTGCCATAATGTGTTCGAAACATAAAACTTGGGTGCTGGAATTATCCACCTAACACCTCAATTGCTGTATAAAATTAATAAAGCCTTGAAGGAGAACTCATCTGTAATATATCACAAGAATAAACTATCCTTTAACATTCTCCACCAAGTGTTCTGTGCTACACAAGGTCTGGCAGCATCTGTGAAGGGAAAAACAGAATTGACATTTCGGGTCTGGTGACCCTTCAAAACGTTATGAAACGTTAACTCTGTTTTTCCTTCACAGATGTTGCCAGACCTGCTGAGCTACTCTGTTTTTCCTTCACAGATATTGCCAGACCTGCTGAGCTTTTCCAGCAATTTTGTTTTTGTTCCTGATTCACAGCATCCACAGTTCTTTCGGTCTTTATTTCGTTCTACGTTACATGTTGGCAGCTATACTGAAAAACAAAATCCCAGCTTCTGACTGGGAGAGGGGGTGTGGAGCGAAGCACAGCCTCTTTCCTTTTTACCCAGACCACTCTAGATAATAATCCAAAGTGATTCAACGGGTCTATGTTGTTTGTTGTTTTCGTTTTGTAGCCTTCTAAAAATATATGGCTCATAAAGGAAGTGCTGGCATCAAAGTCAGCCTGGTACAAGGTTCACTGAACGTCTAGCAACTAATGACCAGCTGCCTATGAAGTGTTGGCAGTCAATAATGATGGCAGTCAGACGTTATAACTTAATTTAACGAGGCAATAAAATTTTAACATTGCCAAATTAACAGCGGCAATTATGTCAATTATTGGGAGATGGATGTAATTCATTTTCTCCAGGCTGCAAACTTGAATTTTTGATTTTGCTTTCATTTTTTTGCTAAGCACACTGAGATCAGAGTTACACGTAACATGGTCAATGCAATGAAAAACATTGATATGTACATTGAAACAATGATTGCTCCCTGGACATCAGTGTAGCAGGGTTACTTGCATTCAATACCCATAGCGGAGGTTAATTGCATTGAGAAACAAGAAAGACTTGCATGAGAACGTGCACATCCATGGAATGTCTCAAGCACTTTGATCAACTAATTACTTTTGAAATATAGATTGCCTCAGTTTTGTAAAGAAATGTGGGAGTTAGCTTATGTAAAGTCCCACAGTTAGAAAATTAAGGAAGAATTTGCTTGAAGAATGAATGCTAACCAGAACACAAACATTTTTGTTCTTCTTTAAAGATCACCACAGATTTTTTTTCACATCAAAATGAACAAATAAGCTGCTGCCAGTTCAGTATTTCATCTGAAATACAGCACCACTGACACTGAAGCGTAACACTGTACAAAATTCATAGCTTTGATTAGAGGAGACTAGACTGGAACTAAGTCAAGGGACCAAACTTAAAGCGCAATGCATTGGCTCCATTCACCAACTGGTGAGCCGAGGCAAATCCACAATGACAATTCTGCACATCCAATTTGCAATTTGTTGTTAATCAGGCACTTACATCGGTCAGTGTTGGGCTCCTTGTTGTGGTCAGGACAATATCCTGCCTCCATGAGACAGAAGCCAGTCAGAGGCCATCAATTTGCTGTATTGGCAGCCCTGGCCCTTCTCTACAGCAGGAAGCTGAGGGTATAGGATCATCATTGGTGTGAAGGTTTATAAGAGGGATTCGCCACAGCCTCCTAGCAGGTTCATGTTGATCGGAGGTGCCTGTCATGACATGTGGGTGCCCAGGCATATGATGGATCATATTGTTGGGCACAGGCTGCCACCATGCCACCCCCTCATTAGACCATGGGTAAACCTAGGCAGGTTGTGCATATGGCGTAGACCCCGCTCACTGCATGTTAAGTACCAGTGGAGCTGGGGTAAAAAAGTTTTGAAGAACCTCAGCTTCTGGGTGGGAAGGCTGTCCTCAACTCTTCCCACCCAAAGTTAGTTGAGGGAGCCAGGAAAGTGACACAGTCTCTGGCCTATTTTCCCTAATCAAATGGGAGCCTCTGCAGGGGTTATAACATTACCAATCCTCAGAAAAGAGTGGGAACTAATTTCCACAAAAGATTACGCTGGAAATTATTGTCAATTCACAGAAGAAAAATGTTTCTCGGATACATTATTACTTTGCAGTACATGACTACACTGTCTGAGACTGAGCGCATATGAATCACTGAGACGACAATTGTTATGGTGCATCAGGAGGCCATTTCACCCAAGGGGTTTACTCTGGCTTTCTGAGCACTTTAGCTCTGTATCACTTTCCTCTTTTTACCCTTTGTTTCTCCTTTGTTTCTATTTGAGTCATCATTCAATAGGCTTTTGAATCCTTCATTGATCCCATCTTCAGGACACCTTCATGATGTGCATTCCACATATGCTATGTGTGAAATAATTTTTCTCAGATCTCATCTGCTTCTTTGGTAAAACACTTTAAGACTGTGTCCTATGGTTCTTGATTATGTTTATGTGTTCTCTTATAATTTTGAAAACTTCTATCAAATCTCCTCTTAGCATTGTCCTCTTCAAGTAAAACAGTCCCAACTTATTCAATCTTTCCTCATAAACAAAGTTTCTCATCCCTGGAACCATTCTCATAAACTTCTTCTGCACTCTTTCCAACACATTCACATCCTTCCTATAGAGTGTCACCTACAAATGTACACAATACGCCAGCTGAGGTCTAACCAGTGTCTTATGTAAGTTCATCATAACCTTCCTGCTCTTGGACACTATGCCCCTATTTATGATGCCTAGAATTGTGTGCGCTTTATTAAAAGTTCTCTTTTCCTGCCCACCACTGTTAATGATTTACATGTATGTATACCCAGGTCTCTCTGCTCCTGTATACACTTTAGAATTGTACTTTTTACTTCATACTATCTCACCATGTTGTTTGTATCAAAGTGTATCACATTATACTTCCTTGCAAGAGCTCTTGTGCTGCAATGGTCCCTACCTCTGGGTCAGAAAGTCTGGGTTCAAGTCCCACCCACTCCAGACATGTGTCAAAACATACATGAACAGATTGATTAAAAATATCAACATTTCTCTGCATTGAATTTCTATCTGCAACCTATCTTTTTACTCAACCAATGTGTTAATACCCTTTTGAAGTTCTATATTGTTCTCTTCACAGCTTACAATTACATGCAGTTTGGTGTCATCTGTGAACTTTGAAATTGTTTTCTTCACACCAAGTTCTAGATCAATTATGAAGTAGACAAACAGGATGCTGGAAGAACACAGTAGGCCAGGCTGCATCTGGAGGAAAGGAGCAGTCAACGTTTCAGGTATTACCTTTCTTCAGGACTGGATGTGGGGGTAGGGGGAGCTGCAGACAAAGGAGAAGGGAGGGGAGGAGGTGGAATGGTGGTGGTAGGTGGACATTGGTGGTAGGTACGACCTGGTTGGTCGATGGGAGGGATGAATCCAGTTGGTAGCTGGAAGGGAGGGTCAAAAGGTGGAATGGAAGGGAGGAGGTGGGGCTGGAAGGGGAGGTGGGGGATGGGTGGGAAGGTTATTTGAAATTGGAGAACTCAATGTTGAGTCCTCTGGGCTGTAGGGTGCCCAGGCGGAAGATAAGGCGTTGTTCTTCAAATTTGTGTTCCGAGTCGCTGCGACACCGGAGGAGGCCAATGACGGACATGTCAGAGGGGGAATGGGGCGGGGAGTTGAAATGGGCGGTGACCAGGAGGTTGGGTCGTTACAGGCCAGGCCAGGCGGAGATGCTCGGAGACATGGTCAATTATATTTGTTAGACAACTGGGAAATTCCAAAACAAACTGTCTTCAAGCCTAGAAAAGCCCCTTTTGCTTCATGATTTATAACCTTCCTCACAAACCTGTTGTGTGACACTGTATTAAATGCTTTTTAGACATCCATGTGCACCACTTCAATGGCCTTACCTTCAGCATTGACCATTTTATGTTTAATCTGATTTTTATTTTTAAATGAAGTAGAATTTGAGGGAGTGGCAAAATTGTTTAATAATTACTATCACCAATATACTGCGCCTCTAATAATTGTTTTCAATTCCCAGTGCGTGGCTTGGAGAGACCTGAGAAAAATAAGAATAAAACATGGATAAACGAAATAGAGGAAAACAAGTCATAAGCCAGTTCTTTTACTTACTGTTGACAGGCTGGTCTATTTTCCTGCATTCACCTTCTGTTACAGTAACGTCATCAATTGCGATGTCCCCTTCTATACTGGGCCCCCGAATACCTTCAAATATCAGCTGCACAACAACAAACAAAAAGGTTAGTGCTGCGTTGGAAACACGTGAAGCAATAGAATGCTCTGGTGAACATGTTATCGGGAAAACTAGAACATTCATCACAATGTCTAACAATGTAACATCCAATGTGCTTGGGTTTTTTAAAAATTCAAGATATCTTCAGAAATCACTGTCCTCTTCTTTCTAATCCCTAGCATTTTGTGCTCTGTTTTTGGTGTAAGGGATGATTCTGTAATCACAACCAAGTGAAAAGTTGCCTTTAGGAGAGCCATTCTCTGGGGATAGGAATAAAAGTTTACACTCTGATTCTCCAAAATGCACAGGTGTGAGCACAGCTCTCTGTTGAGGGCAGAGGACTCCCGAAGCATACCTTGTACGTTTTCATTAAAGTGAGGAATGACAGCAATAAGGAACAGCTTATGATCCTTTTCAGAGCCTGGTAACACCATGTTTTCCCAAACTGGGTACTTCTTACATTTGATGTAGGGTTCATTCTACCTGCCCTGAAATACCAGAATGTCCATCTCTTTACAACACTCGTTACTGAAACACATTGATTCTTTTACTTGTAAGCTTGTCAAATTAAAGAACATTGAAGCTGACTCATATCTATGGTTAGATAAATTTAAATTACTCAACGTAATTTGCAATCTGAATCTCTCATCAATCAGGAATGTAGAATCACAGAACCCCTACAGTGTGGAAGCAGGACATTTGGCCCATCAGGTTCACACCAACTCTCTGAAGAGCATCTCACCCACACCCATTCCCCTACCTTATAACCCTGCACTTCCCATGGCTAGTCACCTGCACATCTGCCAATGTGGTATACTGCATCCGCTGTACCCGTTGTGGCTTCCTCTACATTGGGGAAACCAAGCGGAGACTCGGGGACCGCTTTGCAGAACACCTACGCTCGGTTCGCAATAAACAACTGCACCTCCCAGTCGCGAACCATTTCAACTCCCCCTCCCATTCCTCAGACGACATGTCCATCCTGGGCCTCCTGCAGTGCCACAACGATGCCACCCGAAGGTTGCAGGAACAGCAACTCATATTC